AGCACCCCGCCGAGCCCCCCGCTTCCCTCCCTTACCTTCCCCGCAGGGCGTCATGGTGGGCATGGGCCAGAAGGACTCCTACGTGGGAGACGAAGCCCAGAGCAAGAGGGGTATCCTGACCCTGAAGTACCCCATTGAGCACGGCATCATCACCAACTGGGATGACATGGAGAAGATCTGGCACCACACCTTCTACAACGAGCTGCGTGTGGCCCCCGAGGAGCACCCCACCCTGCTCACCGAGGCCCCCCTCAACCCCAAAGCCAACCGGGAGAAGATGACCCAGATCATGTTTGAGACCTTCAACGTCCCCGCCATGTACGTGGCCATCCAGGCTGTGCTGTCCCTCTACGCCTCTGGCCGTACCACTGGTGAGTGCTGGCGTCCCGCTGGCCCCTCTTTCCCGGAGGACCTCCAGGACTGGTCCCCAACAAGTCCTCAGCTTCCCCCCCAGGGAAGGAGCCATTTCTGGCCCGTGGCTCAGGTCCCCGCTTCTTCCTCCCCCAGGTATCGTGCTGGACTCCGGCGACGGCGTGACGCACAACGTCCCCATCTATGAAGGGTACGCCCTGCCCCATGCCATCATGCGCTTGGATCTGGCCGGCCGGGACCTCACAGACTACCTGATGAAGATCCTGACAGAGCGTGGCTATTCCTTCGTCACCACAGGTAAGCCAAAAAACGTCCCCCTTCGCTTCCAACCCTGGCACCTCCGGGGATGCAGCAGTCGCTCAGCCCACTGCAACCCCCCGGGAGTGCTCCCCGTTGGGAGCTGGGGTGTTCCTGGGGGGCTGGAGGCCCGGCAGACCTCCGGAGGAGACGCGAGCGTTCCCCGTTCCTCCTCGGCGATCGCTGACGCCTTTGCTCCCCGCTGACAGCCGAGCGTGAGATCGTCCGTGACATCAAGGAGAAGCTGTGCTACGTGGCGCTGGACTTTGAGAACGAGATGGCCACCGCTGCCTCTTCCTCCTCCCTGGAAAAGAGCTACGAGCTGCCTGACGGGCAGGTCATCACCATCGGCAACGAACGTTTCCGCTGCCCGGAAACCCTCTTCCAGCCTTCCTTCATCGGTGTGTGTGCCCCCTGCCCTCTCTCCCCCCCGCCAGCCCTCCCCTCTCTCCCGACTCCTGCCGCCAAGCTTGGCGCTTGACTTGTCCCTGTTTTCCTCCCCTTCCACGCCCCCAGGCATGGAGTCCGCAGGGATCCACGAGACCACCTACAACAGCATCATGAAGTGCGACATCGACATCAGGAAGGACCTGTACGCCAACAACGTCATGTCGGGGGGTACCACCATGTACCCGGGTATTGCTGACCGCATGCAGAAGGAGATCACGGCCCTGGCCCCCAGCACGATGAAGATCAAGGTAAGGCTGGAGCGCGAAGGGCCCGGGAGCAGCCACCTCGCGCGGCCCCCGTGCCTGCCACCCGCAGCGCTCGCTTCTTCGCCGGTCTCACCTCTCTTGCGTTGTTTTTCCTTCCTAGATCATCGCCCCGCCTGAGCGCAAGTACTCCGTCTGGATCGGCGGCTCTATCCTGGCCTGACGCGGCGGCTCTATCCTGGCCCCCCTGTCCACCTTCCAGCAGATGTGGATCACAAAGCAGGAATACGACGAAGCCGGCCCGTCCATTGTCCACCGCAAATGCTTCTAAACGTGTGGACGTGATCCCTTTCGCCAGCCGCGCTCAGGATGACGACCTTCTAGGTTGCAGGCAGCCCAGGACCTGCAACGGGCCATGTAACTTTCTGTTTTGTAACGATTTCTGGTTACTGTTGCTGCAGAGCTCCACGTGGCACAGTGTATGTAAAGTGTACATAAATTAATTTATTTTACCTCCTCTTGTTTGTTTTTAAAAACCGATGCCCCTGTGGAAGGAAACGAAAAAAAACTTCAAGAAGCATTAAATCACCAGTCATTCTGTCACACCCCTAACGCGGCTCTTGGTCGTCATTTGCTCGGGTTCTTGCGTCGC